ACAATGAGATTTGAGAAATCTTCTCTAATAATTCATTGAGCCCTGTAGACGTCCCTGGTAATTCATCAGGAATATATATAGAGAGAGAGAGATTTGCCCTCAACACTATCATGTATGTTATTTACATCAAGCATCTTTATTGGCAATCTCTGGTGGATGTGTCATCGATGACGTGTCATAAAATCATTCAGCTTGTGTGAGTGACAGCTGCCAAGCACTAAAATTTAACCATACCAAACTAAACTGACCCTCCCTTCTCCTAGCTTGAAGTCACATGAATTTCTAATAAGCTTTAAATGTCACATTTTTATGTAACTCAAAGAAAAGAAGCCAGAGCAGAGGCAAAAGGGCCTTGGCTTCTTTTGATTTATCCCTATTCTATATAATTTAACAGGGGAAGTTTCTAATACTTTTCACCTGATTGTTTCTTGACCAATTCAATTTCAAAAGCATAGTATCACTGATAAAAGCAACACTAGTACCAATGTATTGCTCATAATGCGTACTGCCTATTGAACTATAGCTAACCAACCATAACATTGGCACAGTTACAATAGAGTGCATGATAATACTAAGAAAATATCTGAGTAAGCAATATAAAATGATAATGATAAAGATAGAACATAAGATAGATGGGAAGGATCCATGCCACAAGTGTAGTCAAGCTAGCTCTATGTTGAATGTACTATACAACTACTCTTGTGTTTGGCCCTGAAAAAGGAAGTACAAGCCTGCATGTTCCCTTTTAGCCTTGATTACTGAAAGATCATATACACAAAGCCAATGTCACAGACAGAGGGGAAATTATATATCTCCCATGCAATACATCCCTCAGCACAAGGTTTGGCACGGCATGGGTGATTCATTATCATAAGGTTAAGTTTCTATGACAGCCTATAATTAGAGTGCACAGTGTAAAGCCAAGACCACAGTGTCTACCCTTGTCAGCACTCTATCAATGGCCTGCAAACTCCACTTAATGCTGGGACTGATTAAATTATTTTTGATCATAAATTTCCAGGGTGGTCTATAAACTCTACATGCACTATGAGTGGGGGAATTATGTTGCTAGTAATTAGGCCACTCTAATTACTAGCAATATCACCCATACTGGCTATCAGTACTAATCAAAACTACAATAAATATCATAGCATATTATAAGGAATCCATCCATAGAAGAATAAATATTATTCATAAAGAAATGTCTTAGTAACTGTCAAGAACAGGACCACACATGGCTATCGAAAATTAAAAAATAATGCCCTGCAACAGAAACCATACGATGCTAGCTTCCACACAAATCACTCAGCACAAGTGAAGGATAACAGAACACACACATTAGAAAGGGGATATATATACCCTGCACCAGCCTCCACCACATACATTCTGGCAAGACAGGTGTGCAAGTCCTCCCTGGAGATTTATTGTCACAAAGAACCAGTCCAATCTCAATCTGGATCAAATATATACCAATTTGGTAGAAGTTTACTAAATTTCTTTTCTGAATGCAAAAAAAAAAAAGCCCTAGTAAATTCCTAGAGTAGGTCTACATCTTAAAACCTATAAAATTTGGTACCAGTGGACACCAGTTAATCTTTATGGTATGGTCACACTAAGCTAAGGCAAAATGAAGATGGTTTTCTTGCGGAGGACTAAAGGTTGCAGTTGTCAGTACAAAAAATAATCTACAGACAAATGGTGACACCACAAATAAAGCGTCACTCAGAGCCTAAGTCCACTCGGCACTCCCAAGTTCAGCTCTATCTTGCTGTGCAGGATATAGACACTGTTGGGAGACAGAACCCCTATCAACCCTCCCTTTGGGTAGTCCTAGTCATGCCTGCTTAGATTGTTGAATAAATTTTGTGACATGGAGTTTGGGACTGTACTATAAAGAATTACCATGACACCTATTGATATCAACTAGCCAAATGCAGCAGCAACAGTTGGTGGACTCAATAAACAAGCACAATTAGAATGGTTGAACTCCATTAATGTACACAAATTGGCACTGAATGATGTTTACTGACATATCACACTGCTTAAATTGGGCCATCATGCCATCATGACATCACTCAGGAAATTTCCCGGGATAGTCTGCTTTACATCCTCTGTAACTATCAAGTCAAGTATATACCATTTCTATTGACTAACCCTGACTAAAACCACAACAAATGCATACTACACATCATTGGGAATCCAGATACAAAATACAATGAACTTCATGGTAGGCCTATTTTGGAAAATTACCCAGCAAAAACAGATTTCTCAAAGCAGTCTTATCCTAGGGAATCACTAGCTATGTTAGAACAATTTTCCAGCCTTCCCCGTGCATCTTTGTCAGATACCAAGCAACCAACACTTTCCTCTTTGCCCCAATAGATAAGGATAGATAAGGCCAAGAGTCCATAGGTTGTGTATCATGGTCCCTCCTACTTAACCCCTTCCCGACAGGTCATGCCGTGAGGCGTCATAACAAACCGCTTGATCTGTGGCGTGCAGCTGTATGCCACGGCAGCGCACCAAAGCGCTACAAGCCGGTGATTTGGCTTGATGTACCAAATTCCCGTGCTGAAAGTCGCATTGCCATTGATCACCAAAGCGTAGAATTTTTTAAAATTTTCTTCACCCATCACCAAGGGGTTAAAATATGGAAAGAGGGGATGAGAGGAGGGGAGAGGAGAATAGGAAAAAAAAGTGGGAGGCAAGGAGAAAGTGACAAGGAAGAATAAGAGAGGAATGATTTTGAATGCCAAAATCTCAGACATATAGCCCCTCACTTCAAAGGAGGCAAAGGTTAATGTTACCGAGGGCAATGCAAAAAAAAGTAGAGGAAAATGGACACCGCCATCTAACAGAGTATAATAAGGAGAGTCACAAACAACACAGGTACAACTGCTGCGGCCTCATATTCACAGCAAAATGCCAAAGATATCTACTGCATATCACCGCTCAGACCTAGGTCCACAACACCCACACACAGGTAGAGTTCTTAATGTCGCATTTTCTGCAAGTTGGCACGGTGTTAAAAAAGGTGGGGTAGAGAGGGCTTGCCCAACTATCTAGGGAATAAATAGATTACTTAAAGGCTAGGTTCGGATTTTAGGGTTTGCCTGATGCCCAAAAAGTTCAGGCAAGTGCGAATAGAAAATAAATCTGGTTTCGGGCGCGTCGCTCTCGTTAACAAACACCCAGACAAGAAGGGGAGACGAGAGAGAGAGGAGAGAGAGGAAAGAGGAGGGAGGAGGGAGAGGAGAAGAGAGGAGAGAGGAGAGAGGAGAGAGGAGAGAGGAGAGAGGAGAGAGGAGAGAGGAGAGAGGAGAGAGGAGAGAGGAGAGAGGAGAGAGGAGAGAGGAGAAAGAGAAAGAGAGAAGAGAGAAGAGAGAAGAGAGAAGAGAGAAGAGAGAAGAGAGAAGAGAGAAGAGAGAAGAGAGAAGAGAGAAGAGAGAAGAGAGAGAGAGAGAGAGAGAGAAGGAAATCCCCAAGACTCACGGGTTCTCTCGTCCCTCGAACAGGCCCGCCGGTGTCCCCGTCCCGTATGATCACATTGACCTCCACGTCGTCCTCGGAGGCCTCCCCTTCCTCCAGCTCGTCCTCCTCCATCCTATCAGTCCCAGGATCCTCCGGGAGCTCGCCATCCTCGATCTGGAGGTCGTTGGGGACTTCTATCTTGAGATTAGCGAAGGTCTTGGGGGCGCCTTGCAGTCCCGCCATGGCCGCTCTGTTTACATCTCGGCCGCGTATAATGTCCACATGTCGCGTCTCCTCCTTATTTCCCTCCTTTCCTCTCCCTTTGGACGGATTCTGTACTAGGTAAATTATGTGGTTCGGATTTGTGGAGGTTTGTTTTGTCAAGGTTGAAGGATTCTAGTGTTGAGGGTTTTTTTTTCTTTTTCGTATTTTGTTTTTGAACGTTTGGTTCGGTAATGCATCGCTCGCCGCGGACGCCTTCGGATGTTCGGTTTCGCTCGTGCGCACTGCACGCACACATATATATGTATATTTATACATATGTAAATATATGTACACACACATACATATATATTCATATTTATATATCTATATTACACACATACATATTTATGTATATACACGTGTGCATACATACACACACACACACACACACATATATATATATATATATATTTATATATATGTATTGTGTGTCCGCATATATGATATATATGTATATATACATATATGTATACTCATGTATATATAAAATATGTATATGTATATATACACATACATATTTATGTACACGTGTGTGTATATATATATATGTGTGTGTGTGTGTGTGTGTGTGTGTGCATACAAACAGACACGTACACTTACATACTTAAACAATGAGATAATAAAAAAAGAAGTAAATTCAAACGAACCCATTCACCTACATTCACACGCGCAACTGCCAGCAAAGGCACACCCCAGCAATGACAAACAGACAGGCAGTTGAACGAATCTCCCTCCCACGCAATCGAAGATCAAATGTCAACGAGTACCAATTATTTCTCCTTTTTTCCTCAGTTAAGAAGGATGTGACTGATGTCTTAGAGTGTATTTGTAAAAGACGCTTGTTTATTTATAATAAAAGGTATATTGTATATCCCTTTTCCTTTGTTTGTCTATATCGATATTTATATTACTATGAAAGAAGTGTAAGGATGTTAGGGTGGATGATGATTTAAGAGGAAAGGGTGTTTGATGAGATTAAACTGGAATAGGAAAAGTATGCATTGGCGAAGGTGGTCACACTCGCTACTAATGAAGAGAAGTAATGGAAAATAGGAAATCAGTTTGAGATTACACATACACACAAACGCACACACGCATATACATACATACATACATACATATATATATATATATATATATATATATATATATATATATATATATATATATACATACTCTGTATATATATATATATATATATATATATATGTATATATATGTATATATATGTATATATATATATATATATATATATATATATATAT